GGGGGGGGACAGACCTCGGAGAGGGGAGACAGGCCCTGGGGAGGGGGGACAGGCCCCACGGTGAGGGGGCCATGCACCAGGACAGACTCTGGGTTTGGGGGGACAGGGCCCAGGGTGGGGGGACAGGCTCTGGAGTAGGGGGGGACAGGGCCCGCAGTGGGGGGGACTGGCCCCAGGGTGGGGGGACATCCCCCAATGCAGGCTGTGGGGTGAAGGGGGGACACCCCGATTGCAGCAGTCCCCTCCTCAGCCCCCCAGGCCGGGCCCTGCACCTGCTCCAGGGTTTTTTCCCCCAAAAGCGCCTTATTCCGCCCCAAAAAACGCGGATCTGCCAGCACCTCACCGACCTCAACAGCGCTTTTTGTGCCAAAACCCAATTTTCCCCATTTTTTGGCTGCCGGCAAGTGGACGCAGACACGGTTCTGGGTTAATTTGTTCTAAATACGGCTGCACCTTGCAAAAAAATACTCCATATTTTGGGAGAGAAAAGTCTTGATTTGGCTTTTGTCTTTTTTTTTTTTTCCTTTCCAGAGAGAAGATCCCGGGGTGTTTTGGGATGAGGGTGATGCTTCCCATCACCAAGATCATCCTCTAGAAGATGGTTGACCAACAGCTTTTGGCTTGAAGCTGGAGAATGGACATTATTCCCTAAATCCCAGGATATTTTGGGATGAAGGAGATGCCTCCCACGCCTCTAAGAGATGGTTCACCAACAGCTTTTGCCTTGAAGCTGGGAAATGGACATTATTTCCCAAATTTCAAGGTATTTTGGGATGAAGGTGATGCTTCCCATCCCCAAGACCACCCTCTAGGAGATGGTTCATCATCAGCTTTTGGCTTGAAGCTGGAAAATGGACATGATTCCCAAAATCCCAGGGTATTTTGAGATGAAGGAGATGCTTCCAAAATTTTTTGGCCTGAAGCTGGAAAACTGATGTTATTTCCCAAATTTCAAAGTATTTTGGGATGAAGGAGATGCCTCCCATCACCAAGACCACCCTCTAAGAGATGGTTCACCAAGAGCTTTTGCCTTGAAGCTGGAAAATGGACTTATTTCCCAAATTTCAAGGTATTTTGGGATGAAGGCGATGCTTCCCGTCATCAAGACCACTCCACAGGAGCTGGTTGACCAACAGCTTTTGACTTGAAGCTGGAAAATGGACATTATTCCCTAAATCCCAGGGGATTTTGGGATGAGGATGATGCTTTCCATCATCAAGACCACCCCACAGGAGGTGGTTCACCAACAGCTTTTGGCTTGAAGCTGGAGAATGGACATTATTCCCTAAATCCCAGGGGATTTTGGGATGAGGATGATGCTTCCTATCATCAAGACCACCCCATAGCAGGTGGTTCACCAAGAGCTTTTGCCTTGAAGTTGGGAAATAGACATTATTTCCCAAATTTGAAGGTATTTTGGGATGAAGGTGATGCTTCCCATCATCAAGACCACCCCACAGGAGGTGTTTCACCACCATCTTTTGGCTTGAAGCTGGAAAATGGATATTATTCCCTAAATCCCAGGACATTTTGGGATGAAGGAGATGCCTCCCATCCCCAAGACCACCCCACAGGAGGTGATCCACCAACAGCTTTTGGCTTGAAGCTGGAAAACTGATATTATTTCCCCAATTTCAAGGTATTTTGGGATGAAGGAGATGCCTCCCATCCCCAAGACCACCCCACAGGAGGTGGTTCACCAAGAGCTTTTGGCTTGAAGCTGGAAAACTGATATTATTTCCCCAATTTCAAGGTATTTTGGGATGAAGGAGATGCCTCCCATCCCCAAGACCACCCCACAGGAGGTGGTTCACCAAGAGCTTTTGCCTTGAAGCTGGAAAATGGCCGTTATTTCCCCAATTTGAAGGTATTTTGGGCTGAAGGAGATGCCTCCCATCCCCAAGACCACCCTTTTCATCGGCGTTTTTGTTAACTCACTCAGTTCGCAGCCACCCGAGCTCTCCTTGAGGCTGTCTTTCTTGGCCATGGTGTCTCCGTTGCTCTCCCAGGGCGGTTTCTGGGAGCAGACAAGCCCGGTCAGCGTTCCAACCTCTATATAAGAGGTGTCCCCACCCTTCCCCAACGGTTCCCCTCCCTCTTTCTCTTTCCCTTCCTCCCCCTCCTCCTCCTCCCGCAGCACCCACACCTAGCGGCAGGCGCCATGTTCTTCGTAGGGAGCTGAGTGGGGACAACTCCAAAATCTCCCAAAACAACCTCCGCCTGCTTCAACCTTATTTTTTTTTGGGAGTTTTTTTGTTAAAGAATTATAAATAATGCTGAGTTTAGGGGGGGATTTATGATTCCTGAGGGCTTTGACACGGGGCCACGTCCTGCAGAGGTGGGTTTGGGTGGGTTATGCTCCGCTCCGCCCTGGGGGACTCATTATCGACCTGGGGTGGGGGGGAGGCTCAAATTAAGAGGCATTAATTAGCACAGGGAGACGGCCTGGACTCTGCTCCGCCGGAGCCGTTGGGCAGATCAGAGCCCAAAGCTGAGCTTCAAGGGGCATTTTCCAGCCACCACTACGTGCGGCGCTGATAAGACCCGATCCCTTCCCCACCACCAATCGATGGGGCTTGTTATCCATCCCTGAAACCTGACGAGGCAGAGAGATAATCCCGCCTTTGTCGGGTTCGGTTTTTTATTATTTTTTTCTTTTTTTTAATCTGCAGAAGGGCCGCCGGTGGCCCCTTTTTTTTTTTTTTTTTTTAATTTTCTTTTTGTGATAAGCAACAGCTGAATGTGCAACATGCGCTTTTCAAAACTCACCAGGCAGGAGGGCAAAGAGACGAGCGTGCGTGAGTGGCACCACGCACTCCAGCTTCCTGGGGAGGAATCGGGGGGGTTTTGGGGTCTGGCCAGAGGGAGGAGAGGGACCTCATCCTGGAAAAGCATCCCTGAGGATTCAGGGAAGGGTGGAGGAGCTGCCAGGGACCTGGAAAGAGGTGATGTGGTGCCTGGTTTGAGTGATGCTCGGGGAGGAGCAGAGCTCCTGGGCAGGGGGAGAAGCAGTAATTTATGAAAATGGCTTTTTGATGCTTTTTCTTGTGACGTTTCAGAGGATCCCAGAATGATATGGGGTGGGAAGGGACCTCTGGAGATCATCTCCTCCAGCCCCCTGGTTGGACTCATCTCATCCCTCCCAGGTTGGATTCATCCAGGGGGGGTTTTGAATGTCTCCAGAGAAGGAGACCCCACCACCTCTCTGGGCAGCCTCTTCCAGGGCTCTGCCACCCTCAAAGTCAAGAAGTTCCTTCTCATGTTTAGGTGGAACTTCTTCTGTCCCAGTTTGTGCCCGTTTCCTCTTGTCCTGTCCCTGGGCACCACTGGAAAAAGACTGGCCCCATCCTCCTGACACCACCCTTGATGAGATCCCCCCTCAGCCTTCTCTTCTCCAGCCCAAAAAGCCCCAAGTCCCTCAGCCTTTCCTCATCAAGGAGATGCTCCAGGCCCCTCATCATCCTCGTAGCCCTTTGCTGTCCCCTCTCCAGCAGTTCCCTGTCCTTCTGGAACTGGGGAGCCCAGAACTGGTCCCAGTGCTCCAGCTGGAGCCTCCCCAGGGCAGAGCAGAGGGGGAGGATGACCTCTCTGGAGAAAGCAAACATGACCCAGATGGAACCACCCCCAGGGGCACCTGCAGAACCGGTTGGGTCACTCAAGGGACAGAGGGAGGTGTCCTCCCTGGCTGCTCCGATGTCTGGAGGTGGCTTCGGGCCAGGGAAGTGGAGGCAGAGCAGGGGGAGCCACGTAGGGCAGGGACCGGGGGACATACTGGGGTCTCTCTGCTGCCACACCGTCCCTGGCTGGGGACCCACTGCAGGGATTTGGCCTCCCCACTGTGTGTGGGGCGAGGGAGAGACACAGAAAGGGCAAGTTACAGCCTCGCTGTAATGGGAAGGGGCACCCCTTGAAGGGCTGGGGAACGGGCCCTACCCCCGGCTCCAGTGCTCCAAGGGCCGGGGGATGAGCCCTACCCCTGGCTCCGGTGCATGAAGGGCCGGGGTATGGGCCCTACCCCCGGCTCCGGTGCCACCCACCCCCCCGCCGTGGCAGCTAAAGAGGGAGAGGGGGCCCGGCTCACCTCGCCTCGTTCACCCACTACCCTAACGCGTGAGGGCCCGGCGCCGCCGGGAAACCAAAGGAACGGGCAGCCCGGGACTAGGCCGCGGCCCGCCCGGCTGATCCGCGGGCCTTAAAACAGCACCGGAGAGGGGGGAACCCCCGGCGTGGCCCTGCCTCAAGCTCCGGGGAG